TTAATATATCTATCATAAAAAGCCAATTAATTCCAATTATCTACATCCCCGGTTACAAAGAACTGAGTCGAGGCTTATTATCAGTTGGTAGAAATATTACCGGCAGTCTTTTGTAAGCAGATGAGAGTCGAACCACGTGAGGAAATTACCAAGTTTCACCAGTGTAATTTTCTCCAGCGCACATATTACAAAATTTATGAGCTAATATCCGCTTGCTTTACATCATCCTCAATATAAACGCTTTATTGTTCACCTAACACGGAAGGAAAAAACCCATATCCTCTGGATCTTCCGCATTTCTTCCGTCATTTCACTAGCACTTTTTTTCTCTTGGTTACTAGTCTGCCTAAAAAACTAAGGAAACCCATTTCACAAAAATTAAGTCCAATGGAGTCCTATTATCTGCTTTTCCAATAGATTGTGTCATGCTACTGCGTTATAGCAGTACAACTAATTCAGAGACCCAATAATAATCACTCGCGACTTAGGGTACACTGCAAAAAATGCAAGCCTTTTCAAGATTTTTTCGCGACTATTTTGTACTAAATCTAAACAAATAGTTCTATTAATGCTAGGATTATTATGTTATCTCTAAAACACCACTATATTTTATATAACAAGACTATTCCGTTTCCCTTTCATATTTAACTACTAGCCCACATTGTTTTCCTACAATGGAAGGTTGCACGAATTCCCACCGGACAAGAAGCATATTCACCGTTACCATTTTGTAATATTTTTACACGTGGCAGTCGAGGGTTTCTTGCATCTTTTGATTTGCTGCCGCTTCTGCTCCAAAAGCCACGATCTCCAAAGCCCCCTCGAAACATCAGACGCCCGGAGGAGGAGGATGCTCGTCCCTTTGACGCGGTCGCCCCGTGCGGGTGGGCGCCCTCGCCCAATACTCCCAAGAGGGCTGCCATATGCGAGGGCGAGGACGAAAACAGGGCGAGCGTTGAGGAACGCCGTCGCCGGTTCCGTGCCCTGGAAACGGCCACGTTAGCGGCGGTTGTTAGGGACAACAAAAACAGTCCGCCGCGCCGATACACTGGCGGGCCGGCCAGCCAGTGCGCCTGCGCGCTCCGAGTAAACACGGCGGCGCCGGGATCGATTCCAGCGCAGCGCCCGGGGCGCCGCCCGCGGCCGCCCCTCCTGCGCAGCTTCCGGGGCCTCATTGTTGGGACATTCTCTTCAGTAGACAATTAATTCCAAGCTAAGTTTACACACGGCAATAGGTGAAGTCTTAAACTTCCGCGACCGTTTATGTGAATTCATTCGCATGTTGTAGGCTGGTGGGCCACAGCCATTTTTTACGACTGCAATGCACCACGATGGTTGGTGCTTGGGTTTACTAGCGCATTTATTTATTTTAAATTTTTATTGAGACCACCGTAATTAAGGTGACGTGATGTGCCTAAAACCGGTAACTTTTCCTGATTTAGTCCTAAAGCAGCTTCTCAAAGTTGCGCGATTTAAATCCAACATTAAATAAAATAATCGCATACAGGGCACAGTGCCATATTCACTAACAATTCCTGCAGATGGGATTACCCATGCGTAGGAAACTAGCATAACATCCGCTTCCGGAGCCGGCACCCCAGTGGAATACCGGGGTGCCGCAGCTGTGAAAGGAACTTGGCCCTTGCCGCAGCGGCTGCCTCGTCTTCGCTCGCTCGTTTGATGTCTCCCCTCCGCCAGACGCATTTCTCCCCCTAAAATAACTCTCAAACGCAGGCGCGCCTCCGCTCCGCAGCTACGTCCTATAGAGCGGCCCTCGCCTCTCCCATCGTCAGGCCGCCGCTAGGGCCACTCTCTCCTGTGGACATCACTCAATACACCGAACACTTGTAAACAAGAAAAAAATTAAAACAATTTTGAAATCGCCAACGTTTCGGCTTTGATTAAGCCTTCAAGTCACCAAGTGCACGCATTCCTTGTCTTGAAACCACCAACCTGCTCACCCTCGAACCGTCACCTATACACCACCGCCAATATTAAAGATTGTTTCATAAAGAAATCAAAAACCTTCAAAGGCTTTCCTGTGTGACAGAGGGGAGCACTTTTGCAAACGCTTTTAGAAACTATTATAATAGTACGTTAACCAGATTTTTGCCCGTCGCTGGAACAATAGTGGTATTTTTTTGGTTTTGGGCTTCAGTCTTCAAAATTTAGTAGCGGAATTGGAGGTAAGGCGTGAATTTATCAAATAGCATATCACCAGCTATACTGTACGAATATGTAGTACATATTGCTCAAAATGCAGGCAAATCCAAAACATTTTCCAAGATTTTTGTAAACTAAAATTATTTCCGAATTTAAAAACGATTAAACACACTCATGGTCAATTATTTTGAGCTCTAGGTTGCAACGTACAATTGCATGAACAGTGGATTTTTCGCTACCTGACCGTTTTTAGATTGGAAATCACGAAAAGGTTGGGCGCAAACTCTTGTACTTGCAACAAGAGAGAAACTTTAAACGCATTCATGAAAATATAATTTCGGATAAATTCGGAACCATTCAAGGGCGCTGACTAAAAGAATTACGATCTCTTGCATAAAAATGGCAAAACGCACGCCCACTGGCATTCTGAAACGCACATGAAAATTATGAAAGACTTCTCACAAAAAACACATATGAGATTTCCGTGACAAAGAGAGTCACGGCAAAGAGTCTGGCCAAAAAACAAACACTTGGAAGAAAGAGAAAGAAAAAAACAACAACAAAAAACAAAACAATATGCACGAATATCGGAAAGATAGAGGAAATCGTTCGCTTCAGTGGCTTTGCTTCTGTTGGGCCTCAAGCTGGACGATTCCATCACAATTGAAAGTATGGCACGTAGCATCTCTTAATATCATTTTCATTAACATTCTTAATAATAATTTAAAAAAAAATGCAGCGTAATTACTGCTTTTAAAAACATGCGCAACTTCACACAACGCTACTATAGGAAACCAGTTAATGATGATATTTTAATTAATTTTTATTGGATTTATCACGTAAAATTAAATACTCTAAATATTAAAACAAAACGAAACCACGTTGGAATCTGCACTTCCACAACAAATTTAAATTGTATACGATGTCGAACGTAACAAAAATGCCGATTCTGACTGCCCCAGGAGCTATGTAATTTGCAGGAGAGTGGTTCGCTGACACGAGCGAAGTTCCGAAAGTGAATTACAGGCTGCCCTGCGCATCGAGCGCGTCTCCTGGTCACGGTTCGCTCGCGGCGCGCGCCGGGCCACCATCCATGACACGATTGAACACTTAACACACTAGATCCCCTCATGCCCGTCACCCAGGAATAATAAAAATAGCTAAAAAGTAAATAAACGAATACATAATTCTACAGTATTTATTTTATGCGAAGTCAATATTATTACATACACTATTACACAAGATCTACAACAATGTGCAATTAGCAGATCGTACGAGTCGAGAATTCTAGGAGGGTGAAAGAGGCCGGATATAGAGGTTCCACTGTACTATTCCAAATTAGAGCAGAATCCAATGTATAGAATTTTAGAGAAGCAGAGTGGCACCTGTTACTCCCACCACGCGACCAAAATAGTGACCTCAGGCAAATTAGTTTCAGTCATCCGCTCGGAGATGGATACCGTTTAGAGAAGGTACGAAGTGTCATGAAGAAACTAATATGGAAAGAGTCCAGTATATAAAACCTATTAAGGTCTTGAAATTATTCTGTAACGGTCCAAGCAAAACAATCGACAACCGCGCGTCGTCCTTCAAATTCCCCGTCGCACAGTGCTTGCTGGCAGCATCGTCGCCGCGGCCAACCCGCCTCGAATCGAGAAGAGAGGAGTGGAGAGGAGAATGGCGGGCGCGGCGAGGGGGGGGGGGACGGGCCCGTGGGCGCGCGTGCGGTGCGGGAAGGATCAACAGGTCGGTGCAGCTAGCGCGCGCCCCCTATTCTCCACGACTCATGAATTATAAAGGCGGCCCCAGCAGCTGCTTTGTGCGCAAGGAGCCGCGGCCACAGACCCGGCGTGATACTTCTCCCAGAAGCAAATGATCCCACACGAATAGCCTTTCCGATCAACTGTATACAATACATCGCGCAAGGAACACCATTCTGAACGCTCTTGAAAGAAATTAGTCTTGTAGGTACAAGACTTATCACAATTTATTACTTTGCCGTTTTTGTAACACACACATCTGTCACAGCGAAAATTAACATTTCTTTTAAACATTTATAACGTACTGCACATTTATAGTTGAATAGACAATTCCATTTTTGTTTCTAAAACAAAATGAAAATAGATTTTCTTGGAAATAAAACTTAATTTTTTTATACACGTTGTGGAAAAACAACTAGAATCAATCCAAATGAATTTCGCATCTGCCAAGAAGGATGCATGTATTCAGAATACCGGTAATGGAACTGGAGCAAGAGCTCGTTTCGTAATGACAGATGGTGTTTTTGTTCGTGAATCATTCCAAGGCGATTATATTTCCTGGCATACAGATACAAACTAATTGCAATATTAAAGTGAAACACTTCAGAACCTCCGGAGACGTCACTAGAACAGAAAACTAACCATTTTTTAAAAAAAGACATTCGCAATGTCTTTTCATAATTACGAAATTTTTACCCTATGAGCGCGCTGCTATTATCCCGCAACCAAATTCCTACATTTAATACTGTATATGTAAGCTAGGTGCAATCGATCTTCCGCACCCAGAGCCATCGAGGGATTTGCGCGATGCACGTGCAACGTGTGCCCTCCCCGAGGCGTCGGCCGTTGGGCATCGGGCGGTGGAATATTCCGCGAGGGGCGCCGCGGAGCAGGGAGCGCTCGGTGGCAAGGAGACCGCTGACGTCACGCGACGCGCGCCTAGGGTTGCGACCTCTAGCATTTGCGCGCGCCTCGCCGCGTTGCGGCGTGGACGGGCGGCCGGAGAGGTCACATCGGAGCAGACCATGGCCTGGACAGGGTAGGGGCGGGGCAAGGGGGCAGGCAGAAGCTACGTACACGAGCGGTGAGGCGCCGTGTCGGGGCGGGCCTGCGGTCAAGAGGCGCGTGGGCGGAGCATGGCGGGCGGAGGGCGTACAGGTCACGACCCGCGCTGCACCTCTACGCACGCGCGCGCACACACTCCACACGGAGGGCACCGCACACTGCACACGCTCTTCACGCCACCACACGCGCACACGCCCACGCACGAGCTCGAGCGCGGCGAACGCGGGCGCACCGCCGAGGGCCCAGGGCGTCGCTGGGCGCGGCACGGCGCGTCGCGTCCCGACCCGACCCGCGCAGCCGCTCCCACGGACAGGCGGCGGCGAAGCTGGCTGTGCTGGCTGGCTGGCGGAGCCCGGCTGGAGCTGGGCCGCGTCGTCATGGTGACGGCCACGTGGAGCCCACTGCGCACGTGTGCGGCCCCGCCCGGCGTCGCCATGACGACCACCCCGCCCCCGTCCCAGCCCCCGCTCGCACCCCGAGCGCTCGAGGGTAGCGCAACCCACCCCGGCTGGGGCGCCGCGCCGGAGCGGCCGCTGTCTCGTCGATATGATTTATGATTTCCCAGCGGCTGCGGTGACGCGGCGCGATACACGCCCAGGGTAAACGGATGATCATGCCTTCTTGTAACATAAGTAGCGTCGCGACAACGCGCACCAGATGGAGCCAAACAGACGATTGCCTCCGGAAGGGGGCTCGGATACCGAATCCGACAAGTTACATAATTGCACATCAAGGTGTATAGGAAGTCCACAATTACTATTTCTAGTGCTACGACAATTTCCAATTCACCCCCGGCAATACTTTCCTCGAAATGAGGCCCACCTTGCACGCTAATGCTTGTCCCCTCGTCCCAAACTTGTAAAAATGGGAACTCTTATGAAACTGGAAATACAATCGTTTGATGCCCGAACTTCGTCAGCACGGTAGGACGTATATGATCGGTTATCAATTTTTCGATCATAATACAGCCAATTTCTAGAACATTACTATCACGCGTTTTCTCAGATATACAACACACATCAAGCACGTCACGTTTCCTTTCAAACGAACAAAGGCGGGCATGTAACGTGCGCAAATCACTTTTAAGTTTGCTCTTTCTAGAGTCATTATTAGAACGTTTCCTCGAATGCACCACACTCCAACATACAACGCCCAGGCAAAGCTACAAAGGGACATCATACAAACCTATTCATGTGGGACATGACGCAAAGCAAGGGGGGACGGACGGACTTAGCCATTCCATTCATATGACCATGGTGGCAATTTTTACACCTTTGGAATCTATACAAACTTTTGCATTTCAACACAATACCAACTCATACTTTCTTTCCATGCGTATTATTTTGGAATCAGCATTGCGGCTTTACTATACCTTAAGTTAGTCTCCCTAATTATCTCCATCAGTTTGTTTGCACATTTCCTCTTCGCCTCCCACAACAAACTACACTGCTTGCTATTCACAATACACACATGAATTAACGAGGTTCAAGTGTTCGGTGATCCCGTATTCTTCAGTTTCTTCCTTCTAAAAGGAACGTGTTTCAAGGAAGTGTTTGTCTATTTATGATTACTGATTGCAGGCAAGAATTTAAATTTTCGATAAAAGAACAGGTATATTACTTTACCATTACTTTTCCTCCGACGATCTAGTGATGCAACCTGCCTTCGAACAGTTTTGACAGTGATCTACACATCTCTAGGCAGCTGGAGCCGAGGGCAATGGGCTGTTGCGTATTTGAAATTCTCGAATTCCCCAACTTCTACAGATTTGCCAGCTCTTGTATTTGATTTCTCCATACTTTCATTTTCTAATGCACAACCGTTATGGTTATTCCAGACGCTTTACCGATTAATGCCACTAGTCTCGTAAGTGTAGTGTAAGTTTTATGATGCTGCTGATTGTGGTGGCGGCGGCGACCTTCCCCCGCTGGATGACATCCGACGCCGACATACCTATCGGCTAGCGGATTTCCCTAACCAGGTATCTCCCACCAGCGGGGTACTGCCCCAGCCGAGAAAAGTTCTAAGCTACGAACCGGTCATTTGTGGTGATGCAAGTGTGTAAGCAAGTGGTGAGGATATGACAAGGGAAGGAAAGATAGAGCGCAGTCTGTGGCCCGTTTCTTATGGTACTGCGACGACATTCACCTGGTATTGATCGGACATAAGTAGATGTCCTGAGCCACATCTCCCGGGACTATTATTTCATGCATTTCATGCTAAAGACCAATTACACCAAGTGACCAACCAGTTATTTCATTTCTTACTTGTAAAACTATGAACTCTTGACGTTTCTTTTGAACAAAGCACATTTACTGCCAATTCTAATTCTACGAAAATGAAAACATCGCGAAATTTTTGTCATATGTGGAAACAATTTTAAATTGTGAATAAAGCATCTTGTTGAAATTACGATATTCTTTTGTAAGTAATTTGTATCATTTCTTATCATAGTACATATTACCAATTTAACTTTTAAAAGAACTGCAACGGTTTCCCTGCAGCCACAGCCGTGCAATCAGAGAGGGTGAGCGGGCGGGCGTATTGAACGGGGCGGGGTAAGGCGGCGCGGGCTCTTCGATTCCATGCGCGGGGGCGAACGGCATCGCCGGAAACTGAGTCACCAGCTAGAAAAAGACGCAGACTTGCAGCGACGGGCACCATGGGACACCGTCTGCAAACATGGGGACGAAGGCTGTGTGGATCCTCAACGAACCACCACCACCCTACAAAGCAGTTAGCAAAGCGCACCGGGCAATTAGCTTAAGCGAGAATATCCTGACCCAACAATCAAGGGACCATTCGTAAAAAATTCGCTTTTTATCCCCCCCCCCTCACACTCTGTAAAAGCTTCAACACTTTCCACTCCCCGACTGTGAACGTTCCATGTTCTACCCACTTCCAGCGTTAAACTAAAGTACCTTCATTAAAAATTTAGTGATTTTCATTAAGATTTTAAAACCATGACGAATATAAACACAAGATTCTAGTTTATAAATTAAAGTTTATGATGTAGTTATAATCACAATTCGCCAAAACTCATTTCTGATCACACACACACCTTCCTAGTTCGGGTATGTCCCCGATTGTGGAAATCTCTTCTCCCAAAAAGTGATTTTTTTTAATCGATCGTATACCACCCAGACTAAGTACTAATGCTATTACTCAGCATCACCCCACCATCCAGCAGTTTCTATTGCTCCAAGCACATTAATGGCGGCACGATAGGGCATTGCGAAAACTACAAATTACATTTGCCCTCTGTTAGAATCGAATTCCGGTAGTTGGTCATGGAAAGATGCAGTGGATTGCATTTCGAAACGCCAGCAAACAAACAATTATATGTGAAACGAATACAATTAGCTGATATTCTTATGTTAAGAATAACACTAAGGAAGGAGTAAGTAAAATTGCACCAACACAATAACTATACTTTCTATACTCGACAATTCTTAGTAACGCACAGTTTAGAGAAAAATAAGCTACTACGACTTTTCGTCAAATGAAATAAGTTTAAAATATTTCCGTGTTCGCAAGTGGAGAACTTAACACGTCGCATTAGTGTTAAACGAACGCACTCGGCGCGTGTTATGTGCTTAACGAAATGGCGGGACATTCTGGTTTATAAGTATGAACTGGTAGAAATTCTGCAATTACGTCTTGAAACTTAGAATAACAATTTTTCACACATTGAAGTTTTTTCCCCAACTTGAATCTAACAGAAGAAAAATATGGAAAACTTGATTGAATATAATTATAGAATGCATTAAAATAGAATGATGAAAGAACATTTCTTTTCTTTTCCTTTAATCGTATTTGATTTTATGATTTATGTTTTAGAACTTTATACTTGAAAGAAAATCTAGGCTTTTTAAACTTGTGACCAAGTACTTCCTTAGGAATTTCGACTTCACTCCGATATTTATTTGCGGGGACGATGGTAGAATCAATCTTTGCTATGTTTCAGTCATCTAAATCATCCATCATGCCACCAACTAAGGGATGTAAAGCACACAAATTCAACACAACTAAAATATATACTGGAGTTTCTGATAAAGGAAAAGTGAACAGCTTCTCGCAACCCAGGTCAAGGCGCCCTCTCTTCTCGTTCCACGAATCTGTTGGCAGGACCAATTGCCTTCGCGTTCCCGCGTGACTCGTCTTGGCACACGCTCACGCGTTTTCCATCACACGTGCCAAGCTGCAAATGACGTCATCCGCGGTTGCACATGTTCCGAACGTGAACGAAACTTAACGTGTTCCCAAATTCCCTCTACTGAAAGACTTCACAAAGAAACTAAAATACACTAAAAGCTAATATTCTCTTAAGAAATCCATTAACCACGAAACTAGGCCTTTCTAACATACTTTTAACGAATCAATACTTTTAGGTCTGCTACTATACTAAGTTTTTTAAAACGTGTTCTGTAAGTTAAATAACTGCATGAAATAATAAAACATTTACACCCCAAAAAGTCTACGCGGATTGCTTATTACTTATGTAACACAAATTATCTTTTGCTCGACCGCGCTCATGCTCTCGCAAATCCACGCAAAGGGGTGTGGGTGCGCGCGCCATGGAGGGACCTCATCGCATTACCCGAGCGCCGCGCCGCCCCCTCGAGCACGAAGACCTCTTGGCCACGCGAGGGCCCTCCAGCTAATGCACTCTGCGCCTCTCTCGCCCGCGAACCACTACCCACTGCTTCAGCCATTGGCACTCCACTTCACTTTACTTCGAACTTTTCTACGTACACCAGTTACGGCAAATCACTTAAAAAAATCAGTCACTTGAAGTATAATAATAATAATAATAATAATAATAATAATAATAATAATATCTATTAAGGGCGAGGCTCAGGCCATAGGGCCTGCTCTTCCGCCTAACCACAGAATTTATATACATATAGAGTAGTAACATTTTAAGAGGTGAGGACAAGCTGTACATTTACGTCTGGGAGAACAAATCTAGGGCCCATCCCGGCATACGTCTTAAGCGATTGAGTAAACCCAGAAAACGTCAAGTATCACGAAATATAACGAAAGTGTTGGGGGCTTCGGGTAAAGTATACCCAAAATTAAAATGCCTGTCTCAAATTCAAGGGATAGCGATTGCAGCTTGATGGATTGGGGAAAAACAGTTACAGTAAATATAACGTGAGTACGATTTAGACGCCAGTGTTTTTCACAAGCTGGGAGTAACTTTTTGGTATTAGGCATTCATGAGACATGTATTCTGAATACACTATATATTTAAGACGGTAATTTGCTACAAA